AAATCTTTAATATTTGAGTGTTCACGATTTTAAATTCTTCAAGCAAAAGCACTACAAATATATTGGAAATTATCAACTTATTACCCTTCCGTAGTTCTAAACCAAGATCAGTGCATGCTCTCAAGTGTCTCTGCTTGTTGAGGTCACCAGCTGCCAGTTTGGCTGGTGTATTTGGTCTCCATGGGAACGCTAATGGTATGGCTACACTGCTAGCCTCTCAGATAATGTGAAGAAGGTAGACAACACATTAGTAAGAGGAAATCAATCAATTGGAAAACAAATGTCTAACTGTAAAGTGGTGCAGTTCAAACAAGCATAACACTCTACAGAAGAACTTTCACTACCCACTATGGTGTTCCAGAAAATAATTAAATGTGATCAAACTAGCACCTTCTCACAGTATGTGTGTGCCACGAAAAGAGAGAAACAGCTGCAATATAAATATTCCAATGGTCTTACGAATGTGTCTGCATTTCATCACTTGATCACAATGACTACAGTACAGTATGTGATACAGGAATTCTGGCCCTATTTGTGGAAAGCACTAGCTGATCTGGCTCCTTGAGGGCTTCTTGTGCAGCCTAGATGAATATTGTGGTCTGTAAATGGTACCCCAGAGGAAAACTTGGAAACTAATTGAGGATCAGTGCATGACATGCAAATTCAACGTTTGTTCTACAAACTGATGATGTGAATAATGAGAGATGTTGAAATTGCATTGAGTAATGTTTCTCTGTGACTGCAGATGTGAACAGTGTTTTAAAGCAATCAAACAAGCATAGACAAAAACAATTGTGTCATAGTTCCTCTATATGCCTTCCAATAGCAGGCAGTCATTTTCTGCATAGCCGTTTTCTTGGTTCCTCTAGAGATTGCATCTCCGCTACAGCAAATCTATGTACTTTGTTGGTCACAGTTCTATAATAATGCAAGTATCTTATAACTGTGTTTGACTAGAATTGATTTTTTATTAGTAATATTTTAATTTTTGGGAAAGAGGAACTGCTTTTTCACCTCATGATGGCATACAGTTGAAGTTAGCATTATTAGCCCTCCTGTTTATTTTTACCCCATTTTCAGTTTAACAGAGAGAAGATTTTTTTCAACACATTTCTAAACAAAATAGTTTTAATAACTCATCTCTAATAACTGATTTATTTGATCTTTGCCATGATGACAGCAAATATTATTTTATTAGATATTTTTTAAGACTTCTATAAAGCTTAAAGCAACATTTAAAGGCTTAACTAGGTACATTAGGTTAACTAGGCAGGTTATGGTAATTAGGCAAGTTATTGTATAGTGATGGTTTATTCTGTAGACTATCGAAAAAATATAGCTTAACAGAGCTAATAATTTTGATCTTAAAATGGATTTTAATAAATTAAGAAACTGCTTTTCCTCTAGCCGAAATAAAAAAAAACAAATAAGCCTTTCTCCAGAAGACAAAATATAATCAGACATACTGTACAAATTTTCTTGCTCTGCTAAACATCATTTAGCAAGTATTAAAAAAAATAAATAAATAGAAAATAAAAAGCTAATAATAATGACTACAACTGTGTGTGGTGACGCTGAGCTGTCAACTACTTGACATCATTCTGTGACACCACAGTTTAAGATGTAATTTATGACTGTTCATGCACAATGACTCTAACTGTATAACAACACTTGACAGCAATGACTAATATGAGACAAACTTCCTTTCCTGAATCCAGTTTAAACATTTACAAAGCCATTCTGATGGAATTTGATGAGGTGACAACTCCACAAGCAGCGGGATTCTATTGTTTTGGGTGACAATGTTGAAAAGCATGTCACACCCACAATCTGTCTGGGTTATGCTTGGCTTGCGCATATCTCAGATGCATCGCATAATTACGTCATATCGGGAGGTGCATATAATGTGGGTCATTAAGGATTGTCAATAAATTAATTTTTTTATGTGGCACTTGTAAATAAATCACAGATACTTAACTTACTGAAATTGATTAGTTATTCGTATATTGTACTTGATCAAGTAGTTTCAAAAATATGTAATTTTACTTTAGTACATTTTCAGGGTTTTGATGGGTTTCACCAATTTGACACACACACACACACACACACACACACACACACACACACACACACACACACACACACACATATATATATATATATATATATATATATATATATATTTTTTTTTTTTTTTTTTTTTTTTAATCACTTTCAACAATTGCAAAAAGAGACTGAAAGGGCAGAAGCACAGCTTCATCTGGCAGAGGAACAACTAACTCTGACCAAACTGACTGCAGCAAACCAAGGCAAGAATTGAGATTCGTCTCCTAAAGGCTAAGCTCAGACAAGCTGGTCTCTCCCAGCTGCAACCCATCCCTGGGAAACATGTTTTCATTTTAATTAAAAATAAACTTATATTAACCCCACACTGGCTATTCTACTTGTTGCTCTTTACATATCTATAGTTCTAAATTGTGATTTCCCATCCTGTTTGAGCACTGGTTATCCAGATTTAATGGTCCAGAAAAGTTCCTACCTTGATCAGATTGATCCAATCTGATGTTGCTTTGAAAAACTGGCTCAAAAAGTAAGCTGGATTAAGTGATCATGGATTGCAAAAACAGAATTACTAAATTCGTATCAATTTTACCCAGATTAAACCTTTTGAAAAAACGGACCCAGAAGTCATTTATTTTCAATGGGAGCGATAAGCAGCGAAGAGCAACGTGGCTCATCTTCGCTGGTGTGGACATCGAGGAGAGTTGAAATCAAGTTGATTTTATAACCCACAACTTGAGAAAATTCCAGGGAACACAGTAGGCTTGGGAAGTAATACGGTAATATGGCATACTGCGGGATCTAAAAATAGCATAAGTGTCAATTTCAATACCGTTTTACCATCATAAAAAACAACGCACTTAAATAGGAGACATTTATTAAATAATAAATATTATTTACTTAATGCCTACAAATGCTTATGCATGATTGTCATCACGGAACAATGTGGGGGAGAGAGAGAGGTGAGGTAAGATGGTGAGTCGTGCACCAAGTGACTTGCAGTTTGTCAGTATTTCCAGTTTCGACCGAGGGAGACGTGGGAAATACGAACTAGAGGTCTGCATTCCCTCTGCTGTATCGCGGGACCAGTCCAGATTTCTTGCGGTGCAGGAATAAATTTCCGAATAAAGTGCGGAAGCGGTCGGTAACTCTGGTGTAATTTGAGAGAAGGCACGCGGTCTAACAATATCGATCCCAAGAGAGCACGCGCGGTTTAGGCTCCAGACAACATTTTGGTGATGCTGTCTGAGCCTTTCGTAATAATTTTTTACAATATGCACAGTAATACCGGATACCGAGGTAAAATAGGGAGGAGGTTTGACAGTATCAAAATTTGACTACCACCCAAGCCTAGACAGTCCTGTGAATTTTGGTTCTGACCACAGTTGTTCCCAAGCGCTTGTTTTTGATTATTGATATACGTTTTTCTCCTTAAAAAAAAATGGAATCTCACTAACTATAATGACAGTATTGCTGCTTTAGAACATTTCAGATATATTCAATGTAGAATATGTGAACATTTCAATGTAGTGAATTTTGAAGCTCTCTCCGGCTTAGCTATGAAGACAGCGTTGTCGTCAGGGCGGCAAGAGCGAACTTTGCCTCTCACACTGCCTTCGTTGTGAACACAGTAACACACTTACTACTCTTAAGTACCTTTAGAAGGACTTTTACTCAGTAAAGTGAATAGTAATCAGAACAGATATTTTACTCGCACAAATTTTTTGGCAATCAATGGTACTTTTACCTGACTATACATTCCACCACCTATCTATATATGAACAAGCCATTTAATACAATAATAAGTATTATTAATACTTTAAAACAAACATTAAATAGCAATCCACAATCATGTACAACAGGTATAAGAGATAACATTTTCCTGTGTAGAATTTGTTAACAGGTCATGTGGATGCACTTTGAAGACCAATAAAACGTTTAGAAAGCACTTTGAAGACCAACAGTTGTTTAGAAAGCATGAGCAGTGGTTCAAAAATCACTACAGTGTTGTTGTCAAACTTTTTGTCCTAATGTGACCTGCTGCCTACCAATTTGCTAATACATAAATGTCCTTCCAAAAAAAAAAATAATAATAATTATATATATATATATATATATATATATATATATATATATATATATATATATATATATATATATATATATATATATAATTGAAAGGGGAACAATTATTTAAACAGCATAAGTAAATGTTGGAGCTCACTGTATTTCCCATTAGAGTACGATAGACGCATTCACCACACATGCTTATTAAACTGGAAAATCCTAAAACACACTTGCGTTGCCTAAAGGCCAGTAAATCCCATAGTCATTCTTACAGGCACTCCACCCAGAAAACTTATTCGTTCATTCACAACACCATCCTCGCTTTAAATTTTGAAATGATGTAATTGTGGTCTTGTTCTTTAGACTCGGAAACTTGTGTAAGTTCGCTGTTCCTGATCGTTTTTAATCAGACATAACAGCAGTGCGAGCAAAGGAAAACAAGATGCTTTCACCTTATATGGACATCTGACTGGAAAACCAGTGAAATACAGCTCTATATTTGAATTCAATAAAAGAAAACCAATTGTGTTAAATGACAAACACACTCATGAATCTTTACATATAACGTTAACGTCACATCTATGAATAATATTACACAATTAACAATTTTAACCCACGCGCCCCACCCCTCACCTTTTATATAAACATTTTAGATCATATTATTTCACTTATATCAGTGCTATAATGAAGACACTATGCGTTTGCATTTTAAATACAAAACACCACGACTTACAATTGTGCTATTTAACTTAATCGATTTCTAACGTTACAAACCACCCCGAATGTGTTTGAGGTTTTGATGCGAATGCAGATAGCAGTGTGTGAAAACCAACAAACGTCAGAAAAAAAAAAGATGTGGAAAAGACACTTACTGTTCGTTTTCTTCGTAAAAGATGCTGTTAAGCAGTAGATACAGATTGTCTAATGCAGAAACCGCCTCTGATTTCAACCCTTACGGGGCTTTTATGGACAAATATCCTTCTTTGTGAATATCCTTTCTTAATTTATACCACTTTATATTGCTGTATAGGCGTTAAGCACCATGCTGTTAAAACTAGGAAGCTCTAGAGGGGACGTCAACCAGTGAATCTGCTCCGCTCACATAAACTTTTTCCTAATGTACCGACTCTAGACACACTTCCGGTTGACGCTTCCGCATTCCGCATGACCGCTGGAGGTGGGACAAAAACTGAAGCCAATGGTAACTACTGTTAAAAGAGATCTGCACAATATGTATGTATGAATTTGCTGCGATTAATTAATGAATTTATTTATTTATAAAGAGAAAACATAATTGGTTAAATAAATTATTCTGGTCATCAAACATAATTTAAAATAGGAAATAATCTTTATAAACTGCTCTTTTAATTCTGTTATAATAGCAGGGTTTTCAAAATTTTGTAAGATATAGGGTGTTCTGTTTTTTCTATATAGTTCATATACTTTCATATATATATATATATATATATATATATATATATATATATATATATATATATATATATATATATATATATATATATTATAAGTATACTGTTTGGATTTTGTGCCAATTTGTTACTTCAGTAGTTATGCACAAAAGCCACGGCAAAGTAGCTAATTAAATAAAAATATAGCAATCAGCTTTGACTTATACCTGTCTCCTTGTCGTGTTTTAGTAAACCTCTCTTTCTGTGAACCAAAAAACTATTTTGTTTTTAATGAAACTGTTGGACTGTTCTACCTCCTCTACTCATGTTTCTTACAGCCCTCCCACTACATGTCTCTTGGAATGACATCATCCCTCCATCTAAACAAGTTCTTTCTTGTTTGGCTTTTTGTCTAAACCTGAATTCATGTTGACATTATTTATAATAGGCATATGCTGTACCCACCATAAGGGACTCTGGACTGGCCATATCATTATTACAATGCTTCCATTTTCAAGTTTCTTAAATTAAGGGTAAAAACAAAGTTTGAAAAGGCTGAGTGACCATATACAGTTTTTGAACACATCAACACATTTCATACATGTTTCATAATCTAGCAACAGTCCCTATAAGGGACTCCCGCTAGGCACAATTGCCTCGATCCGTGCTAAAGCGAGGTTGGCCTGCCTCCCCCTCCTTAGACAGCCTGCCTTACACTGCATCTTTACCTACTGAACCTAAGCATGCTTACTTTATCAATGATGCAACTGTTCAGCTTAACAGGAAGAGAAGTGCTCTCGCCCAGTATATATGCTTTAGTTATTTCGTTTTAGTCGTTTAGGATGCAGTAACAAAGTCACATATTTTGCAGAACAAATCCACAACTATTGATTCTCATAAATTATCATAAAGTCCTCGTGCTGCAGGTATTAGGAGATTTGCTGAGGGTGCAACTGATGTTCAGCAAGGGGTTTGCGTTTTTAATAAACTATGACAGTTCACGTTCTTTGAAAAGTAAGAATGATTAATAAATCCATGTAAAACAGTCCCTTTAAAAGTGATGTCGTGTCTTCAGTTTCGGGCTAAGGCGCATTTTGCATTTAAACTACATGCATACTGCACAAAAGCCCAACTGAACCACGCTCTGGCACACCTCTTCCAACCAAGCCAGGGTCGGTTAACTAAACCTCACATGAGCCTGATTCCGAGCACTTACACATGTCAAATGAACCTGGAAACGTGCCTGGGCACAGTTCGGATAGCATAATGTGACTGATCCCATAAGAAGTGCCACCAAAGTGTGCCACATCTTTACATTGTTTGATATTTGCCTTTGAAATCTTTCTGTGATCAATTGTACTGGATGCATACTGTATGGGCCAGCTTTGTTACTGGACTCTCTGGTGTATTCAAGTGGCTAATGTTATTGTTTTAGATGTTGTTCTGACCCCTGTAGAATGAGAAACAAATGGGTCCTGTTTGACAAATCCTTCTGTTAAGGTCTGAAGATATGGAACAATTTCAGTTGCAGTGTTGTACCAATTGCCCATTGACATTCTTCACATTAGCTTATTTGTTTGTGCATTTGTCTACAATTTAAACACAGCCATGAATTAGAGACATTGTAAAAACGTAATTCTCTAGAAATCACAAATTTAGAAAGACCAACATCTTTGCCTGAAAGGTACATTAATATATCCGTTATTTGGACAAACGGTAGGTTTTTAGTAGCTTTATTGGATCAGCAAATATCCTAATTTACTTTTCATATAATATTATATTGTTTTTTTCTTTAAAATTGTTCATTTACTGTTAGCATAATTAAAAGTGAGAAAATCTAGTTTTAATCTGCTTTATTGAAAGTATGCTGTTTGTGTTACTTGCTATGCACAAAAGCCATTAAAAAGTAATTTACAAACCAAATAAGCAATCAAGTGCAGCTTTAACTTACCTATAAGCCCGTCTCCTTCTCCTTTTTTGTTTCTCTCTGAGCCTCCCTTTTTTGTATCTCCCTCTCTGTGCCCCTGAAAAACAGTTTTCGATGATAACTTTTCTTTTAGATGCACAGCTGTTGGACCCTCCCCCTACAATACTTGTCTCTCTTAAAAGACTGACACCCTCCCTTCGTCTAAACAAGTTCTCTCTCGTTTGTCTTTTGCACAGGTCATGCGTATTACAAACCAAACACCTCTCTGTCTCTCCCCCAGTCTCGCCCCATTTGGATTCTTTAAGCATTCCTCATTCTATGACATCAACCCTGCCTGCCTTTCCTTGTAAGGCCAGAGTGGGTGAGTAAGTGATTGAGAAAGGCAGCCAGAGAGAGAGGGAGGTAAGAGAGAAAGAGAGAGAGAGAGATAACGGAGGTTGGGGGTTTTATTAGAGACAGACACATAGTAGGACACAGAAGAAAAGAGACAGGAACACACAGTGCTCAGTGAGACGATCAGTCTAACTCAAAACCTGAGTCTCGATCAAAAACAACATTCAAAGTCATCTCAGTTTTAATAGTCGTGGTCAACCTCTGTTTTGCTGCAAATATTATTTTCCACTGCTGGTTTCAATTAAATTTGAAGCAAGCGGGGTCATTTGCAAGGCATTGAATAAACAGTTCAGCTAAAAAAGTGAGTGTTCAATTATTTTTATATATTATTCGGCAACACCAAGGCTCCAAAAGTACAAATTTATTACATTAAAAAGGCTGACACAGAGCATGTAACGTTTCGAGCCACCCGGCTCTTCATCAGACAATGTTCATCACAATCAGGTGCTCCTTTTTGTACACTTCCGGATCACATGATCTCCTCTCACATAAATGCCCAGAATGCCCAGAAATGCACAGAATGCAGGTTTCTGATGTTAAAGAGTGCGAATCTGCACGATCGAGCAGTTCTAGAAATGTGGTCAGAGAAGTTTAGTTGGTCATCAATCGTTACTCCAAGGCTTTTCACCATTTTAGATGCCGTAATGGTTGCCCCATCCATCTGGATTGAAAAGTTATGGTGTAGAGTCGAGTTGGCAGAAACTACAAGCATTTCCGTTTTTGTGAGGTTTAGCTGAAGATGATGATCTATCATCCAGTGTGAAATATCCAACAGGCAGGCTGAGATGCGAGCTGGAACCGAGGGATCATCAGGATGAAAAGAGAGGTATAGCTGGGTATCATCAGCATAGCAGTGGTAGGAGAATCCATGTCTCTGGATGACTGGTCCTAGAGATGATGTGTAGATGGAAAAGAGAAGTGGCCCAAGAACAGAGCCTTGAGGTACCCCAGTGTTTAGATGCTGTAGGTTGGACACCTCTCCCCTCCAAGACACCCTGAATGACCTGTCAGAGAGGTAAGATCTGAACCATTGTATAACAGTGCCCGCAACGCCCAGTGACTCGAGCGTCATTTTCTCAACATGCTGAAAAATGACAACACAGCTGTCAGAGAGTTATCACCCAAGTCACTAATTTTATATCTACAGTGGCATAATTTCCTGGCCACTTGATACAATGAACCTAAGTTTTTTGTGTTCAGATTAATTCTGAAATGTAAACCGTATTTGACACACACTCTGATTGGCTGGATCTAAATGAGCTCTCCTGGCAGAGGTTTGATGGAGCGACAGCAGTTCTAAATGAGGAGATTATAACAGACCCGCATATATTTGCAATAGCAGTAGTCAATATAGAAGGCACACCTTGCCAGCTATAATTACTATAATTCAACTATAATTTATAATTAAGTTCTCCCTTAAATCTAATATGAATTGGCAAATATTGAGCAGTTTTGGTGTACTGTCTTTAAGGAAGGGCTCTGAGCTCAGAATATGATCCAAACAAAAAAGACTCTTGCTGTGTCCAAAGGGAGCTCTGCTTTACTGAAGTCCCTGTTGCAGCTGAAAATGAGGTTCATGAGATGAAGGCTGTCGAAAGGAGCAACTGACAACCGAAAGGAGCCTGCAACTCTGCTGCACCGGGGGACCTGTCTAAATTAAGCACATAGTGCATCTCAAAATTAACGGAAGGTTCACACTCCGACCGAAGGGAGCTGTGTGTGCACCCACAGGGAGCTGTGTCTGGACCCTGAGTCCCTGAGTTCCTGTTGCAGCTTAAAGATGAGATACGAGCTTGCAACTGCTGGGAAGGAGTGAATTGTCAAACTTCTGCACATGAATGAATGCAAAAAGATGAATGCAAGGTTCACACTGTGACGAGGGGAGCTGCAGCTCTGCTGCACTAGACGGGAGAGCCAAGGCCTTTCGTGGTAGGATGTTAGGCACCAGTTAGTGCTTTGGATAAGTGCTGCCACTGTGACCGAAGGAAGCCTGCACCAGTAGGGAGAGACTTTTAAAACTCGAGCAAACAGCACAACTCAAAACATGAATGGAAGGTTAACTTTGAGTGAAAGGAGCTGCGGCACTGCTGCACCAGACGGGAGAACCCTGTTTGGTGCTAGATAGGCAATATATGATAGACTCCCACATTGTCCAATGGGAGCTGCGGCTTTGCTGCTCTGGCAGAGTGTAAAGCCTGGTTTTTACTTCCGCGCCAAGGGATAGGCGTGACCCACGGCGCATGCAATGGAGGAAGTTGTACATTCATACTTCTGTGCTTTGTTTCTGTCGCTCTGCAATAACACGTCCGAAACAGTAGTTGGCAGTAAGGTGTTTATGTTTCTGTGTGTCGAGATTCTTTACTGGTGTTTTGTTTTTTTCTGAACGCTTCCTTAATGTACAAGTGGTGCAAACTCG